GCCTCCAACTAGACTCAGCGCCGCTGATGACAACCCTCTGAGTTCTGCCATTCAGCCAGTTCTCAATCCACCTCACCGACCACTCATCCAGCCCATACTTCCTGAGCTTCCCTAGGAGGATATTATGGGAGACTGTGTCGAAAGCCTTGCTGAAGTCTAGGTAGACAACATCTACGGCTCACCCTTCGTCTACCCAGCCAGTCATGTCATCGTAGAAAGCTATCAGATTGGTCATGTTACTAAAGTCAAAGAACATATGTTACAAGTTGTAACCTTGTTACAAATTTCTTGTGTCTCTCCTAGTCACAAAGTCTCTGACTAGCAGAAGTAGATGCTTAGCAAATACAGAGATATGGTGTCTTTACTAATAGTCTTACCAAAATGCTTACCACAATGGAAAGCCTAACTTGCGAAAGTCGTATAAAAAACTTCACCCAATATGAAAGCATGGTCCTGAATTTCAACATATATTTTGAGCAAATTCATGTACAGCAGGACTTTTGCCTTCTCTCCAATTAACAAATAAAAATGCCTCTTCATTCTCAGTAGTGGAATTTCCTGTAGATTTCAAGATCTGTGAAGAAATACAACCAGGAATGTAATTACCCTTCATTCTCTTCTCTACAGGTTATTCCAAAGGACTATAAAACTATGACTGCTCTAGCAAAGGCCATCTCCAAGAACGTGCTCTTTGCTCATCTTGATGACAATGAACGAAGGTATGAGGTGCTTTATGATTTAAAGAAATCTATAGCTTGACCTGAGGACAAGAAATTATATTAAATTTTAACTCGGGGATCAGAACTACTCTCACTGATGCATTTGAGTCATACTAGATGCATCCTCACGCATACTTACGGTGTTATGACAAAGGGTAAAATCACAAGTTAAAAAGGGCAAGAGCAGGTTAGAATGTATTCAGACATATTTAGTATTTTCAAATCAGCTGTGCCTGATGAACTTTTTTCTAGGGTACTTAAGGAATTGGCTAAAGCAATCTCAGAAGCATTTGTAGTTACTTCTGAGAACTCAGGGAAGACAGGTCAAGTGCTGGAAGAGTGGGAAAGAAAAAGCATAATGTCTATAAAGAGGTAAAAGAGAATTACAGGTAAATTATTTTGTTCTTTGAAAAACTGGAACAAATAAATTATGTGTAAGCACCTGAAGGAGACCAAGGAGTTCAGTAACTGCCAAAGTGACTTTTAAAAACTTGAAAATGTTGTTCTACGATGGAATAGCAAGTCTTGTAGCTAGGGAAGGCCCAACAGAGGCCAAACAGCTTGACTTCTAGTAACGTTTTTGACATTAATGTGTATGACGATTTCATAAACAATCAAGGGAAACATGTCTTCAGTGAAATCACTATGGAGTCTGTGCAAAACTGATCGGATACCCATACCAAATAGCAGTTATCAATGGTCCATCATTCTAATGGAAATATTTATTGAAGTATGGGAAGGGTTGATCTGCTTTTCATCGTTATTGTCATTAATGAGCTCAGTGGTGGAACAGAGTATGAGTGTTGAATTTTTAGATGACATGAGGGTAAGAAGGGCTGCTAAAATGTCGGGAGACAAGGCTAGAATTCAGAATTATGCTGACGGGTTGAAAAAATGTTCTAGTAAAAACAGGGTGGCTTGTCACTGAGCCAAATGCAGAGAAGTGTACTTAGGCAAGAACAACACCTTTGTAACTATAAAGTGGTTTTGGGTTTTGCAGATTTGGTAGTTCCTTGAAAAACTGTGTGGGGCTTATTGTGAATCATGATCTGAACATTAGTTGCTAATGTTTTGAAAATACTAACGTTTTTGTGGGGTAACTAAACAGGAGAACATGCAAGACATGTCCTGGTGTTGGAAAGATCTCAGCTGGAACAGTGTCCAGTTTTGGGCACTGCAGTTCAAGAATAAACAGTTTGAGAAGCTCAGTGAAGAGCAGTGGGAACGATCACAGATCTAGATAACATCAATTCTGAGGAAAGAATGGGGTTGGTTGGCCTGCAGAAGAAAGGCCAGGGGCAGAGGGACGCAATACTAGATTATAATTGTGTATGAGTAATGGAATATGAGGAATAAACTGCTGTGTGTGCCAAAGGGTAAAGAATAACAGACTTAAAGTGCCGTAGGAAAGAGTCAAGTCAGATACTAGGAAGAGGGCTTGGGTAGGTTGTGGAGTCTCCACCACTTCAGGCCATTAAGAACAGATTAGACTACGGTCTGCCAGGAACGAGGTGAGTAATGAAAGTCCTGCCTTGCAGCAGATGTCGTGAGATCCTTGCCAACCCTGCTTCTCTGTGCTTCTGTGGTTAGAAGGGACAAAGACTTTGTCTACACTGACGTTTTTAGTGCTGGCAGAACATCAGCAGTACAGTCCTTCAGTGGGGCTACTCACATGGTTTCAGTCAAAGCACGTTCTAAGCATGCAAATATTGATCCCTCTTGCAGGCGTTTACACAGTTTCATTAGTTTGCTATCCTAATTATTGTGATATTGCATTAGCATGCAGATTCCTGGAGTAATTAGAAGAGGATTAACTTTGCACATTTCTTCCGTTTTTTTCACCCACAGCAGAGAATTCTTGTACAGAACTGCTATAAATCCTAAATACACCTTTGGCATGCTAACGTGACAGGCACTGGTAGGGTAGGTTTTAGGGATGGAAAAGGGACATTTTGGTAATATGTTACCAAAGTAGAGCGAGAGAGAAAAACTGAAGGAAAAGTGCTTTTTCTTCTGCTTGTGCTGATTGTACGTCACGGTCATGATTTCTCCTATCCGTTCCTTGTGTCCTATTTACATTTGTCAGCCAGACCATCCTGTTGTGGATACATGTGAAGAGTGAAGAGATGTGCACAGATTCCCGTGTGTGTGCTGCAGATGGGTTGTAGACTGTCTGCTTTTGTAGTCCTCAAGCTATGGCTCGACCAGGTATATACTGCCTTTGCTGTCAAAAGATTTGGAAGCTTCTTGGTTTCTGGGTTGTGCACTGGAGCGTATTCAGCTGTATACCATCTCCCTTGCTCAAAGAATGTGTCTAGGTGCCTCCTTCAAGCTGAGCACAGCAAGTTATTGCTGATACTGGGGAAAAAAAAGGAAGTCACAGAAGGATGCATGCATTCTGCTTTTGCAGACAGGATTGCAATGAACGAATAAATTGTTTTCTCTTTGCATTTTACTGAGCTCACTCTTGACATCACGCTATTGCCCTTGTCTGTTTCAGTTTGTGTTTTGGTTTGGCCTGGATAAATGCCGGGTGCCCACCAAAACCGCTCTATCACTCCACCTCCTCAGCTGGACAGGGGAGAGGAGATATGATGAAAGGCTCGAGGGTCAAGATAAGGACAGGGAAAGATCACTCACCAATTACTGTCATGGACAAAACAGACTGAACTTGGGGAGAAAAGGAAGTTTAATTCATCACCAATCAAATCAGAGTAGGATAGTGAGAAATAAAACTAAATCTTTAAACACCTTGCCCCCCACCCCTCCCTTCTTCCCGGGCTCAGCTTCACTCCCGTTTCTCCACCTTCTCCCCCCGAGTGGCGCAGCGGGATGGGGAATGGGGGTTACGGTCAGTTCATTACACGTTGTCTCTGACACTCATTCCTCCTCAGGGGGAGGACTCCTCACACTCTTCCCAGCCCCAGCGTAAGGTCACTCTCATGAGAGACAGTTCTCCACAACCTTCTCCAACGTGAGTCCTTCCCATGGGCTGCTGCTCTTCAGGAACTGCCCCAGCGTGGGTCCTTCCTATGCGGTGCAGCTCTTGATGACATGCGTGGGTCCCTTCCACGGGGTGCAGTCCTTCAGGAACAGGCTGCTCCAGCTTGGGTCCCCACGGGGTCACGAGCCCTGCCAGCAAACCTGCTCCGGCATGGGCTCCTCTCTCCAAGGGTCCGCAGGTCCTGGCGGGAGCCTGCTCCAGCACGGACTCCCCACAGGGTCACAGCTTCCTTCAGGCATCCACCTGCTCCGGTGTGGGGTCTCTTCCACAGGCTACAGGTGGATATCTACTCCACCATGGACCTCCATGAGCTGCAGGGGGACAGCCTGCCTCACCATGGTCTTCATCACGAGTTGCAAGGGAAAACTCTCTGCTCTGGCGTCTTGAGTACCTCCTCCCTCTCCTTCTTCACTGACCTTGCTGTCTGCAGAGTTGTTTCTCTCACGTCGTGTCACTCCCCTCTCTCGTCTGCCCTTTTTCTGCAGTTTTTTTCTTCCCCTTCTTAAGTATCACAGAGGCACTATGACCGTTGCTGATTGGCTTGGCCTTGGCCGGCAGCAGGTCCATCTTAGAGCCAGCTGGAAAACAGTCCACTGTTTTCTTGTGAGACTTTTTCAGGCTTTATCAGACATGAGGGAAGCTTCTCGCAGCTTCTCACAGAAGCCCCCCCTGTAGCCCCTCTCGCTACCAAAACCTTGCCATGCAAACCCACAACAATTTGTCAAGCGTGGAGAAGTCAGCAAGCTGGAGCGTACCATTTCCATCACTTCCAGTTTGCATCTGGTTGATGCAGATATATAGTTCAGTAAAGTCAGTGGTGTATGACTTCATATGGGTTCTGTCCTCTTGGAATGGTGGAAAGCTAGGTGAGGATATTTCATTTTCTGTGCTGCAGTGATGGTGTTGGTGTTTATTTTACTCAGTGCTTTCTACTCTGAAGACAGTATCATTGTTTTGTTTCATTTTGTGGTTGACCATTTGCCGAGATGCAGGAGGTGTTCAGGTGGCGGAAGGATGGACTAGCAGGGCTTAATTCCTTATTTACAATGGATGACTCTTACATTTTTCCTTCTCCTCTGAAAAGATATTTATACTAATCTGCTCTGTGGCTGTGCAGTCCACATGACTTGTGTTGCACTTGCTGCTTGGCAGCTGTGAAGGTCCTTCTGTCTAACATAAACCCTTATTTATAAAGGCAATGTGTAGCATCTATGTCAAATATTCCATATGAATGATTAATTGCATGAGAAGGCATGCTGAAGTTAAGGTAAACAAGTATCTTTTTGCACTGGTGTCTGAAATAGTTTTGTTCAAGTCTTATTTTAGATACCATCTTTTCATCGGCCATGCTTAAAAAAGGGTTGCCATCTCTCTCATGCACACACGCACGCACATACATACACACAGTGTCTGGTGTAAAATTGTACTGGAAAGTGCAGTAAAAGGGAAACTGTAACTACAGCAGTACTAAAAGCAGCAGAGCTAGTTGTCAGCAACTTTTGCCAACATTTTCATTTCAAGAGTTGCTAGTATTGTAAAGAACCGTGCAGCTCTGCAAAGTGATGTGGCAGTCCGCTGTTTTCTCGTGAGACTTTTTCACTGACTTCAATAAGATCTTGATTAAACTCTGCAGTAGGGTTCTGGTTCTCTCAAAGCCAGTGGCAAAATGCCCACTATCTGAAGTGGAAATGTGTTTCTAACTTTTAGAGAGCTGTTGTTCTCAATTGCAAAATCAGGAATGTGTGGCTTTTTAATTGTGTTTCCACACATGTGCACTTGATGTATGTCTTCTGTGCATCCTCCTTTGCCCAGGGCTGGTCTGTTACATGCATACTGGCCACAAAACCTCCAGTTTACATGGATGTATCACATATTCATTATCCAAAATTTTTTTGAATTGATGAGAAACTAACAGTAAAAAGTTAAAGCAACATGAGGGCTTCACAAAATTAATTTCTTAGTGTGTTTTAATAGGTACAGTTTGATTTTGATTTTT